ATTTGGTTGCAGAGTTCCAGCCTTGGCTTGTTTCAGCTCAAGCATCACTGACTGGAGCAAGCACTCTTCCAGGCTTCCCTGTGTCCCACATTCAAAAGCTCCCTAGCACTCTCACTGCCAAGCTTGGTGAGTTGTCAAACTTTGCTGGGAAGATTTCGGAGATGTTTGAGCTTACTCAAAGCTTCAAGCAGGGCTCAGTGAAGGCAGCGCATGTTTGTGTGCATCTGGGAAAAATGGCAGTCGGCTTGCAAGAAGTTCTGTGAATCATTTGCTTCAGTGGAGCACGCTCTGACACCTGTTACATTGCTCTTGCAATCCCTAGCTGAGAAGTGCTACATGGCTGAGCTCAAGGATGTCATGCAGGCAGCTTCAACAATGATCGGTTCGCTTTGCACATCCGCTTCATCCATGGGTGACCGTGACCTCAAAGCAGCCATTGCCAAATGCAATGAGGGTAGCTTGATTGCAACCGGCTTCTCCGACATTGAGAAACGGTCGAAGGCATCAATGGCCGTGAATGTGTCGCGTGATGTCTTGCAGCTAGTGGAAGCTAGGGCTCACAGGGCAAAGGACCCGCTTCCCGAATTCGTTTCTTTCTGCCAACTTCTTTGTGACCTTGACGTCAAGCTTGCTGATCTGCTTCTTCCAGCTTCCCCACTGTCGATCGACGTGGACAAGGTGAAGCACGCTGCGTTGGTGGTCTTTGGCATGTTGTTCAATGAGGAAGGCAATGAAATCCGTCATGAACAATTCGAGGAGTTCTTTGCGCTCCGGCGGTTGTTCAGATTGTTTTCTTGTTTTGCAGCGCTTTTTGCTAGCAGTAAATGTTGCTTTTCTTGATGAACTTCCTAATCAGCAAGGTGAAAGCCATTTCTGATACTCAGACGCTTTTCAATGAGCACCGGAACAAAATTTGTGCCGACTTAGACAAAGGAACCTCTGCTCTTGGATCCATTGCTCTTGGAGAGTTGACAGAGGATAACCAAAAGCCCTTCTATGACGCTTGTGAAAGCAAGGGTGAGGAACTCATGTCAGGGCTTCAATCTCTAGAGCACATCATTGGCGCTGCAAAAGTGTCTATCCACGAGCTCAAGCTGAAGGGTAACGAGACTGAACTCTACCTTCCTTCTTTGGGGGCTGCAACGCAGCAAGCAAAAGCGAGCTTACTCTCCATTGGATGTTGGACCTCCATCAAGATCATCATCAGCAAGGCCGCTAAGAAGAAGTTGCCAGATGCCGCGGTAAGGGCGCTGCTTGGACTTTGACTTGCCGGTTTCCACTTCAGTTTTGGGGGTTTCTTTAGGTTAGTGTTTAACTTATAAAATTCTACCACCGATACAAAATGGAGAGCCAGTAAGGAAGAGAGCTTTGGCCTTTGCAGCGGAGAATTCAATTGAACTTCCTGGGTTTCTGCAGGCTCAGCTGACTAATTTGATCAGCTCAATCAACCAAGCCTCCAAAACCCAGAATGCTGCATAGTGGATGGCTTTGGCTTTGCACGGATGTTTGGACAAGCCAAGCCAAGGTAAAGGGTTTAGGATGTGTGCAGGTTCAGCATCAATAAGTGCAGTGCTAAGATTGAGGGTGTACAATAGTTTTGCAGATTGTAGCTGTCTTCCTGGAATGCATCCCGCTTACCGCTCGCAGAGCAAACAGAAAAGTTGCTAAAGAATTCACAACACTTGAATTCAGACTTCAAAGACTTGTTGGGCTAACGGTTAGAGAGTATAATATAGGGAAGTATTTTTCATAGAGTTCAGCTACAGCTAGTTGTGGCTCACAGTTCCAAAGTCAGCTTCTTGGGGCAGTGTGTAACACACTGTGTTTGTTTCGTTTGGCATGGGCCGGGCCAAAGCCAACCCGAAACCGAAGCCGACACCCAAGCGGACACCCAAGCGGACACCCAAGGCCAAGGCCACACCAAAGGCAGCCAAAGGAACTGCCAAGAAGGGCAAGCCTTCTAAGGAAGCCTTCCAGAGCTTGTTCAATGCACACAGTGTCGATACATCTTCACCATCTGCCACCCAACCGGCTACGCTGTCCACGGCAGAGGCTGCTCATGAAGATCCAGGCCAACCAGAAGCTGTCCCCACCGCAG